AGAAATAAATGTTAAAAAAATAAAAGACTTCACAATATGTGTGGCAAATTTGTATTGTATATTTTTTTATGTCTGCCTATCCGAGCGAGTTACAGGCGACTTATGTTTTTAGTAGGTAATCTGTGAACGAAAGAATAGCATAAAGTTGTCCAAACAATACAAAATTTTGTTAGTATAACATATTTCGATCAATTGAACGTTAACAACGAATCGTAGGCCATTAATTTGCTTGAATCCTTTGCGGCTCTCTGATGACCGCGCCGATCCTAAACAAATGATCATTGAAATAAAGACGTATGGGGCAAGGGATCACTGGCTCGTTTTATTTCGCTTACAAACTGAACGCCTGCCTACTAAGTTACAATGGTCGTTTGTTTTGCTAAACCTACGTGATACATTGTTCGGAATTACTGAGGATTTTTTAAATAAATTTATTGGTCCACAATCCGCTATTCGCGAAAATCAATAAGTTACTGAGGACGGCTTTACGATAGCAATCGTAACATCGTAATATTTTGCATAAATATAGACCTCCGATTGTTTATGTTTGAGATATAATGAACACAATTAAAATGTAAGTATGAACTTTAGATTTATAAAACTAATTACAATACGCTATGTCACACTTATCATAATTTAAAGAGTTTAGAACAACCTTTTATATTCTTACTTCTATTTCAAGCCTTTCTATTTTTGCTTTATCTCTTTTTAGGTCTGGATTATATTGGAAAAACAGACATGAGATAGCTTACGCGTCCCTGAAACGTTCGTATAAACTCCTTTGTAATGTATATTACTTCGTTGTGACTTATATACTTTTGTAGTACAAATAAACAAACACATAAATATACATTCGCTGAATAAATGCGAGGACGAACAAAAAGAAACTTCAGTAGAAGTTATAGCGGGCTAACATTAAAAGTTTTAGCTTTCATACGTTTTCTAACTACAAAGTCCAACTATATGATAGGTATAGTAAAATTTTATTACATAATGAATTTTTACTAAAAACTCATCATTTTGCAAATTAAACTCATTGAAATATTTTGACAATCAGCCCGTTTTATCTACCAACCCACATATATTCTAAGCTATACTCTATAGCTGATGTAGATGCAGGCATATTGCTAGATAATTGCTTTGCCAGTTTGTTTCATTAGGGCTGCGTCTTGGAGTCGCGCGGGCTCTTTGCAGCCGCTCTGAGGAAGAGGGAGGATGTAATTTAATTGTTATCTGCTATGCTACAGAGAGCGTTTATGGTTTTAGGCAATTAACAATTCAATTTACCGATGCTCCGTACCAACTTTCACCTTCGAACCGAATCCGTACTACATAGTCTTCATTCTATAGAACGACAAACACTTATTTGTCGAAAGCGGTTTCACCATACAATAGTTCTAGGCTAAAGTATAATATTATATTGTTTAAATCAATAAAATAGAAATAAACCTTCAAAATATTGGATAAAAAAACATGTACATAAATCATTCGCCAAAAGCTCAAAGATACGTTTCTAGTTTTAATCAAAGTTGGGACGCCGGAGTGTAATTTTAGCTTTACGTATCTTAACTTTGGAACAAACTTTTCACTCGTGTTTTTTAAAATGCATCAATTTTAGTGTGCACTAGTTTTACTACTACACCGAAAACTAAAATACCAGAAACCAGACCATATGGTTGAGAGTTACGTCTTTTAGTTGTAATGAAAAATATCTACATTCCGAACATGTGAGTTGCTACGAATGATAATATCTGCGCATTGTATAGAAATCACGTATTCGATTTGCAAAGTGAATTGAATAGCTTTGTTACATTTTATGCTTTATCTATTGCATGACATTGGTAAAGGGAATTCAAAGAGCGTAGGCTTTTATTCATACACATGTATGTTAGTAGAAAATCAATATATATAAGAAAAACTTTTTTCACAGGTTTTTAAACAATCTCAAAATAAAAACATATTTTCTAAAAAGTAAAAAAAAGAGGTTGTTGTATTTACAATTTCACTATTACAAAATGTAAGACGTAATCTCAGAAACAACCGATGGTATAAACTTAAATAAACTGAAATGCTTTAACAAAATTATTGGTAAGCTATCTTTTAAAAGTGTTTTATATGCTCTTTGAATATAAGCATTAACATTACCGATTGTACGTAATTAAAATATCGAATGAAACATGATAAATTTAAATTGGTTTCGACAAGTGATAAACTGTTATGCAACGCCGGACTCAATGCCCTAGTTCCGGTCCACTGTTTACGTTCCGCACAAAGTAATATGTATTGCCGACATTAATCCTCCAGTACACCACATTACTTAATTATACGACAGGACATACTGTTACACTTTATCACTATTAATAAAGATTAAGACATAGTAATCTTATTTCAATTATTTACTAACCGACTTAGGAGTTTATATATTTGTAATTTACCTAGGTAAGTTGTTAAGTTTAGCCGATTGTTGTTGTTCGGTATCCACTACTGAAATATTTGTACAAAAAAATTCTACCTCTCAGATTCTTTGTTCACATTTCCTTCGTCAACTAAACAAAGGAGATAAACAGTTAAACAATAAATTTTCAAATTTATAAAATTTCTTACCAACGCTCTCTTAAAAAGTTATGTTGAATCTCTACATACAACCATTCTTTGTTGAGTGATAATGGGATTCTTTTCTTCATTTAACTGGGTCATTTTGTTACGAGTGTGTCAAGAGTGTCAAGCAAGGTGATAAAAATAGCTCACACAGGTCTGCACCCGTGGCGAAGTTAAGTGTGAGACCTAGTCTCAGACGTAAGTAGTTGTCTATGGCCCTGAATACTAAATAGGCAGCTGACGCCTCCAGCTTACTATAAAGTCAACTTACTACTTTATCTTTTTTAACGTTAAACGAACTCTTGACGAATAATTTCAAAGAGGAACGTTTTGTTTTCTTTTATACGTAAAGGAATTTCCCTCAAAGAAACTACCCGACTGATATCGTGCAATTTTATTCAGAACATTTTTGTTTTATATTTATCTTTCTATTTCCAAGTTCTTTTGATGTTTCAAGTGTCAGATTTATTGTGGATAGGTAAATGTTATGTTATAGTTACATAAATATTTTTGTGGTAGTAAAAAAAAGTGTAAGCTAATCCCATAATGTAGAGTTGAAGTGCTACTAGTTAGTTTCTACTATTCCAAATAAGAGGCACTGAAACGTTTAATTATTCCTTATAAATGAGTAAATGGCCGATAAAATATAAATTTGTAACATACCTGCAACATTATGCAAGTATTCTGCACTTGGAAAAGTTTTAATTGAGTGATATGAAGCGTGGCTGTCGCGGACAAATTTGTTCTGCGCGTCTCAGCCGATGCCGGTACTCTGTTGCGAACTGCTTTCTAAACTACCTTACAATATGTTAACAGTTATTTAACTTTATATTTTCAAGTATCCTTATTAAATAAATAGTTATTGATATTATTAGTATAGTAGATATTAAAAGGGTTCTTTATTTAAAACTTAAAAAAAAAACTTAATTTAAAAGGGATAAAAAAATATAATTGGTACAGCAAACTATTTCGTAAAAAAAATTCTGACAATAGGTGCTTTTTTGTATTTTGTGGGGTGGAAAACGAGCAAGCATGGCTGCACCTGAATTCGCCGAAATAGCGAGGCGACCGCTAATTACAGACCTCCATATCACACCTGTCTTCTATGTGGTCGTAGTATTCCTGTAACAGATATTGTTGCTGGCATCTACTCATGCTATATAGTCAAAAAAAATTATTTCTCTTTCGATAGCGATTAACTGTTATTTGCCACATTGTTCGCATAAATATTCAATCGTCAGTTAAAAACGAAATAGCCGGAATCGCGCAGTAGCCGCGCTAGTGAAAAAATAGCAAGGATAAGACTAAAACAAACTACCTTGAACCTACCTACCTATTTCAGTTTAGTATAATTTCTCACGAAAGTTTGAATAATTTAAACTATCTGTAGTACAAAACGAAATTATATTTTTTTAAAATTAATTGTTTTCATTTAAAAATTAAGCATCATTATCTGTGCTTAAATTAACGACGACACAGGAAAATATGCAGCGCAGCCAAATGGCGCTGCAGACACTAATTACACTCGGCTTCTTATCCGAAGCTTAAATAAATTACTCTGAAAGAGCGGTGCTCTGTTAAATTTCATACTTTACGGGACGAGACAGGGCAAGACTTTAAATAAATTTCTCTTATTCTTTTCATACTTTTTAGAGGAGTTATGGTTACACAATTTACATCGTTGGCTTATAAATAGATATGTATGGGAATGACACCAAAAAGTTTTATATAACGTTTCTGTGTAATAGTTTGATTGTTTGTCTTTTGTTGTTATGTCTTACTTACCATTTATAATGTTCCAATTAAATAACAGTTAAGATCACGTTGTGAAATAATATATCTTGTTCGAAAACTTATCTTTCCGAACAACTTTGCAAAGTTTGTCGCACCATCAGACGATTTTATAATAAGTTTTAATTGATTCATTGTTTTCACCACTGTGGATTTGAAACCATCGGAATTATCTTTTCATTTGTGCCAAACGAATTCGTCGAATCTTGGACTTTATTGCGGTCAAGTATTTTACTGATCGCTTCGTGACGAAATTACAATCCTACATTTTCTATAGTCAATGAAGAAGCGAAAGTGATAAGTCTAACAATTATTCAGTAAATCATATGGATCGATGTAATATCATGCTTACTGCATTTTGTTGCAAATGTAAAAAAAAGAACATACAGACGAATTCATAACCTCCTTCTTTTTGAAGTCGGCTAATAAAATCGAATCGATATACCATGACAAGAAATGAATCGATAACATGTGATTCCGAGTAGAAAAGTACATCCCTAAAGATACCAAACTTTTTCGCGGGCTTTTGGTTGTCAAATAATGAAGTTATTCCTGCATTATTACATACGACTACAAATAACAATTCTCGAAATACTTTGTTCTCTAGAAGTTTGGTCTTAATATCTATGTTAAATGTAATTTTTGCGTTTAAAGTTAAAGTGAATCCGTTTGTATAAATCATGAGTTCTCTTTTATCCGCGGAACTCTCTGCGACCTGCAATGCTTTGGGAACATTGAATAAGAAAACTGGAAAGTATATGATAGATGATTTTACTCTTAATACAGTTAAAGATTTGATTAGATATTTGAGACGAGATGGAGAAGACCACGAAATACGCAGACACTTTGGACAAACAAAAGTTCTACAAACGGATCTATTGCCTATGCTTATTGATCACTGGGAAAATAGTGAACTATTTGACGTCACTCTGAGGTAAAATATTAATTTGAAATTTCAGAAATCTATAAAAATATACAATTTTTTGTATATGTTTTATACAAATGCTTTAGCAAGTACTGATGTAATATTTGGTAATCACCCAATTCTATGATACATTATAATTTAAATGTTATTTTCTAATTTGCATTTTTTTTTAATACTCACAGGTTAATTGTTAATTTAACAAACCCAGCTCTGCTACTGTATAGAGAGGAAGTTCCTGTGGAGCGTACTGCTCGGCATAATTATTTGCAAATATTATCTCACTTGCAAAACTATAAAGAAGAAGCTTTTACTAAAGTTGATGTTTGGCAAATGTTTTCTAAAAAATTAGCTAAAGTTTTAGAAATAGTAAGTAATGTAACTTTGAATTTTAACCTTCATGAAATAAAACTTTAACCGCTAGTTAAAAGAAATTAACTCCCACTGAAAGACATCTACAACAAATTAACAGGTTAATGTGCATTGTCTACTGAAAACAGAAAAGAGATGTTTCCTCCTTCAATTCATCCCATTCCATATTTTCCTTCAAATAAAATAAAAAAATGGTGGAAAAGGGAAAGGGAGTTGAAGATGCCTTCATGCACCACAAACACCGTACAAAATGTGGAATTACCATAACTTTACAACTGTCATATGTGTGGACATGATGTTTAACAAATTAAATTTTTAAAATTATATGCAGGATTGGTCGGAAAGAGATGAAGATACAGGTCTGATTATTGAAAGGATCCTAATTCTGATAAGAAATGTATTACATGTACCAGCCGATTTGGACAAGGAAAGGAGACCTGAGAATGATGCCAGTGTTCATGACCAGGTAGGACTATAAAATTAATATATCATGAATAAATAGAACTTTTTATCACATTTTAATATTAGAAATACTCTTAAATTATGAACTAATAATGATTAATTGAATTTTATACTTTTTAGGTATTATGGGCTTTAAATCAATCAGGAATTTTGGATATAATACTCTACATGTCATCGGAAAATGAAAAGCAGTATTTTATGCATATACTAGAGATAATATCACATTTATTGAGAGAACAGAACCCAACGAGCTTAGCTAGTGCAGCCTTGCAGAGAAGTATGGATGAGAAAGTAAGAGATGAACAGGAACTTTTAACTATAAGGATGACGGAAACAAAAGAAAGACAAAATAAGATAAGACAATTTTCTGGTACAAGGTTTGTTAAATTTTCTTGTAATTTTTTTTACATGTGCAGGCAAATAAGCTAGTGGCTACTTAAATTTACCAAAATAGGGAAATTACCACGGCCCATAGACATTCACAACTGCAGATACATTGCCTACCTTTAAACAACAGAAAGAGAGGATGGGGAACATTTAGGAAGTATTAAGTATTTTCTCTTCCTAAGTGCCCACTGCCTCCCCATCTCCCCTTACCATCTTTTCCTATAAGAAACGGGTCAGAAGGGGAATGGAACTTAAATTTGGCCTCCGTCACCCACAATGCTTGGACAATGCCTGTTTTTTGTAGCCCACTTGTGCAATGGATCTTGTAGCTGCCATGTCCTACTGTTAAAAATTGTATGGTTAAATACAATAAGAGTGTAAATATATTTTTTAATTTAGGCATTCTAGATTTGGAGGTACATATGTTGTCCAGAATATGAAATCTATATCGGAAAATGAAATCATATCTTTGAAACCTTTGAATAATATATCAAGTTTAGACTTCAATGGAAGTAAGAAAAGCAGATTGGTTAAGCCTAAAAATAGAAGACCTGTAGAAAGTGGTACTTTGGAAAGGCGATCTGCATTTGCCGTGAGGTGACTGAAATTATTTTTGTCATTTTTAATAAGTTACATATTCAAGATTGTCATATTTACTAACTTTTGATGTTAATTTTAAATATACAAATAAAAAATGTATTGAGGGAAAAAAAATAAAAAAAAACAAATTGTAACATGATCTAATTTCTTTATTAAACTTTATATGTAGTAATACAATGGCTTTATTTTGCAGGTTATTTCTCAAAGAATTTTGTATAGAGTTTTTGAATAGTTCGTACAATCCATTAATGCATTATGTGAAAGATGTGCTGGTGAGGTCGAGAGCACAACAAAATGACGAGTCTTATTATTTATGGGCTGTCAAATTTTTCATGGAGTTCAATCGGGGTCATCATTTTCAAGTGGGCCTTGTCAGGTAATGTCACAAAATTGTTGTTAATTAACGTAAACTTTTTAAATTCTACGTCGGTGTTTACATGCCGCGTCTTTTAATTAAGAAAAAAAAACAGTTTTTTTTTTGTTGGATTTTTTGTTAATTGATTAAATCAGCGTATTTGTATAACATTTTAGTATTACATTTTTCTAAAAAATCTAACTTTTTTGAAATGCTAATAAGAAAAAACAGATAATTGTGTCAAAACTATGAGTTTTAATAGCATTTAACAGGGTGTTTTAAAGTAATTTATTACCTGTAGATATTGTGTAGGTATCTAAGTTAGCCAACTATAACAATAGTACGCGGTAACTTGGCCCATCTCATCGGCGCCCCTTGTAATTGAGCGTTGCTGACAAGCTGATGAGTTGGGAAACAGGAAATTTGACAAGTTCCTGCTTGTTATTTCAGTACAAAGATAGAACCTCTATAATTATTTCATTATGTAATTTTAAACGTAGATTTTCACCTCCCAAAAGCATTTTACAGAAATATTGACTTCTCGTTCTGTTTACAAAAATAAAGACAATGTTTTTTTCAAGTGTTACGTTAATAAAAAAAATTGGTTCTAAGTTTCATAATTCATTCGGTATGACAGAGACCTTTTCTCTCAATTTATTTTAGCTTATTTTTTATTTAGTGTGTAAACAAAACAGATACGTATACGGTTTTAATCCGACGCTAAGCTCTGCAGAAAAATCTCTAAAAACCACACAAAGGATTAAAGCGAACGGCGCTTTGACTGTAACGTATTACCATAAATGAAACATATATACGACAGATAAAAAACATTCAGCCACATATCCTATTTTTTCACTCAACTTCTTTTTTTATATAAAAAATCGCTCTCTAAATCTCTCCGAACTATTTGTTTTCTATTTTTTGTCAAAACAATAAATTTAGTTTTTGTTACACAATGCTTCGACCGAGGTAACAAGGGAAAACAGTTATTCGTTTTATTTTAATTACAGCATCGAAGTCATGTGCAAGAGCACAATAAGAATTTTGAATTATATTTCTACCAAATATCTCTAAATGTTTCTAACAAAACTAGAATTCAATAATAAAACAAACTTTAAGAGGTGCATACTTACAAGTATTGTTCCCTCTGCATTTTCTACCGCATATAGCACGGGGAGTGCTCTGAAGAATTGTTTGGAACGATCCCTGCCGCCGAGTTCCGTCATCGGAAGACACGACAGACCGCCAGGTTCCATCCACACCATCTCGATGGCTGGCAATCTACAACCGTGCGGTTTGCGAGAAACTTCCTGCCTCGCACAGTAGCGTTGTGGAATGGTCTGTCCTCGGCGGTATTTCCAAACCGCTACGACTTAGGGTCCTTCAAGAAGCGAGCTTATCACCACCTAAAAGGCCGGCAACGCATCTGCGGTACCTCTGGTATTGCTGATGTCCATGGGCGTCGTTGAACACCTCGGTGTTCCCGCTGCTCGTTTGCCCCCTACTGCTATAAAAAAAAATAACATGACTTTGATTCATAACAATCATACCCCACACGAGTAAAACATAATAATGATTATGTCTAAGTACAGTCAGCTGCATAAATATGTAAACATGTACAATAGAAATTTATAAAGTGCTTCGGTTCCAAAAATACGTGTGCACGTATTCACCATTGCCATACATTATATATATATATATTTCGGAAGAATACGTACGCAACGTACAAAAATAAATACATATACACATATGTGTATTTTTGTAATCAAAGGCATATGCAAGTTTCTTAAGCTTTATAAATACATATTTATGCAGCTGACTGTACCAAAAATGTCGTAAAAACTAGATTTATCTTTTTAATTTTTAGTGAAACGATGTCAGTACCGATGTTTCACTATGTCCAACAACAAATGGAGAAATACTACGATATGATAAAAGTTGAGAAGAAGAAATTCCCAGCATGGGTCCGACGTTTGCATCTCTCTCTGAGAGCTTATAAGGAATTGTTGAATACACTACTAGCTATGGACAAGAGTAGCGACCCTACAGTCAAGGAGTCTGCTAAAGTGTTAAAAAGTAATATATTTTATGTACTAGAATATAGAGAGTTTATTCTCTATACATTTCTGAACTACGACGATAATAAGATGCCGAGGTAAGTATATTTTTGGGATATTTACATTAAAAAAAATAACAATTTAGTTTGAAAATATTCAAATACGCGTAAAATTTAGAAAACCAATAATAACACCACAGTGATGAGGTTTAATTAAAATAATTCTAAGTTTTTTTTAATTGAGAAATATTTATGTATATATCAATTTTAGATCGTATTTAGTGGATTTGGTTGAAACCGTACATCTATTTCTGAAAATGCTGGAGTACTATTGCAAGAAGACCGGCTTAGTCGTACAAAAGAAAGTTCGGAAGAAGTCCAAATCGAAAAGTAAGTTGGGCGAAGCATTTTCGATACACGTTACTATGACTTCCTCACTAACTTGAAATTTTATTGCAATTGTATAGCGAGATGTTGATGGTGATTTACGAAACGAAACGGATCGGAACTATCTCGTTTTCATATAATACATTTTCTAAGTAATTTTATTGTATATATATACTTGATATCTGCTCAGAGGGAAAAAGCGAAAATAATCTTTTAAGTAAATCCTAACAATAATATTACTTAGAAAATGTATTATATGATATATATATATTTAGCAATTTTTTTTGAAAATTTACTAATATTTCTTTTACCATTCCAACTAAGTTCTAGGCTTGTGCTAGGATATGGTTTACGACAATAGTTTTTGTACATCATTCCTTATATTTGTTTAATTAGTGGAAATCCACGCTTAAACAATCCTATTACATATTATTCTATTTAACAGTGGTAGAAGCATTAACGTCTTCACACGAATTGTCCCGGCTCGCCCGGTGAAATACCACGACCACACAGAAGACAGGCGTGAAGTGGAAGCAATTCCGCGTGAAGTCTGATGAGTGTGCGTCCCGGAGGCCTCATTTAGTCCCACCCTTTTTCTTATAAGGAAAGGATGGGAAGTGGACGTGGACTTTCCGGATGAGAGGATGCATAGGAAGGGAAAATATTTTATTTCTGTGCATACCCTTCTCCGGCGATTAAAGGTAGGCAACGCATATGCAATTGCGTATGTTTATGGGCAACGGTCGCTTCGCTATTTCAGCGATTTCAGGTGGCCGCTCGCTCGTTTGCCACCTTATGATATAAAAAAAAATATATACAAGTATAAAAAAAGTTTTTTTTTTTTACTAAATAGAAAAGAAACTACACTTGCAAAAAGCAAAGCAGGTGGCCGTAGAAGTGCCTGCATGGGATGTGCTGTGTCCACAGATTGCTTGCGTTCTTAGCGCCGGAGTGAACGAGTATCCGCCGCCATTCGATGCCGCCTCCGATATACCTATAGATCAACAAAAGTAAATACATAAATCTTACTTAAATGTTTGGATGTATGGATGAATGTCACTAGGTATCCATAGATCTGCATAGATCTCACTGTAATTTGGTATAGATGTAGAACATAGTCTGGAAAAACAGATACGCTACTAATTATTTTTTTAATTCCTGGCGGACGGAGTCGCGGGCGACAGCTTGTAGATAATAAATTACATTATCATAAATAGTAAATATTTGTTAATATAATTTGTCATTTCCATTTAATTCTACTATACGTGTCTTCTTATCTTGATTTTATTAGGCTCGTCTTCCTTCTTACCTTTTATTTTTACCTTTAAATTCTAACCACTTTCATACTCTCATATAGAGATGTTATTTTTTATACCTTTATAAAGGATGTGACAATTTCATAAAATGAAATTTAATTATTTTAGGGAGGATTGTATGAAGAAAATCCAAAAGTTAATGAGGGAATCCAAATTTGAGGATGCTATCGGCACATTTAGAGCGGCCAGGTATTTATGTTAAATACTTTGATTTAAGCGAAATAAGTATTAAGAAATCTTCTTATATAACTTCTGTATGTAAATAGTTTAGTATATAATAGTAAATATATAACTCGTGTAGAGAGGTGTGGCCAGAGGAAGGAATTTTTGGTGTAAGTGGCATCGCTGAAGACGAAGAATTGGAGATGTTGCAAACCATTTATAATACTGACTTAGGCGTAGAAGTAAACGGCAAGTATTGTATAATCCTTCCTAATATCTAATACTCGTACGTAACTCTGTCTGTCTCGCTTCCACAGCAAAACTACTAGATTTAAATGAAATTTGATACACATATAGTCTAGATCCTGTGTGATAGGCTACTTTTTAATGGGAAAAAAGGATTGTATGGGGTTGAAAGGGGGATGAAAAGTTGTATGGAAGTATCATCATTTTAGAGGTCGAAGCTTGAAATTTATTTTTCCGTGTATTGATTCGATGCGAATAAATAAGAAATTTAAATTTATTAGTTTTACTATTCAGGGTGTTAACGCTACCCAAAGACGAAGACGTGGCCACAGATACTACTGTAATCTATCAAACAACCTGTGGCCCGCGACTCCGTTCGCGCGGGATTAAATACAAAAGTTCCTAGAGGGTTTTCCCGGATCTTATTCGAATTTTTCTCATCTTTATAAATCTTTCTAAGATCTCCATGAACATTTCAAGACCAAGATAATATGCATCCGTTCAGCTGTTCTCGAGTTTTAGCGAGACTAACGAACAGAAATTGATTTATATATATATATTAATAAAATTGAATGATGCTGGCTGATGACCTCATAGTTATCTTGGTTTACAGAAGTTCCAGAAGTAGAAGATGAGTCACAAGATGGTTACGATAATGAAGAAGACGGTAATATATAAAATATTTTAATATAAATAATATTTATTATAGAACAGTAGTTATTTTAATCTAGATATATACGAACACTTTTTTTTATTTGAAGATGAAGAAGAGGAGGCGAACACCACATCTGTTGTGGAAACTGACTTCGATTTTCAAGATTTCGTACAAAGGTAAAATGTTTATTTTGAAATTTGACATATTTATTTTCCTATTATGACCTTATAACCGTTAAAATTCATAGGTTCTGTCAACCTCGCGTGGTGAGCGCGTGCGCGTATCTCCTAGAAAGATACGAGAAGAACTCCGCGTATACTAACCACTGCATCATCAAGATGCTGCATCGCATCGCTTGGGACTGCAAGCGACCTTCCATGATGTTCCAGGCTTCCATGTTCCTCACCTTCCAGAAGATATTCCATAACCCTTTGCCACATTTTAAGGTACGTCCTTTAACAGTGAACATTATGACATAACTATTGATTTATTAAGATCAAATTTCAAGTTTAAAAATACATTTTTTTTTAGTTTTTATTTTTTAATTTTATGTTAAAAGTATCAAAATTTGAAATCTTTACCACACGAGTTTGCTTTTAGAAATTCTTATCACTTAGTTTGTTGTAAATCTAAAACAAAACATGATAAACAAACAAATGATTAAATTTTTTATATTATTTAAAAATGCTGGGTAAAGTTTGTATTCTGAAATTAATAAAAGATAGATTTGTTGTTTAAGCGTAGCCTTCGATTCAATAGGTTGTTATAAAGTTGTTCTCTCGCTGAATTTCAAATGATCTCCTTTCGCTCAGGAGTTGGAAAAGTTCGGCCTGTTCGTGTTCAGAAAGTTTTCAGAGGTCGCCTTGAAAAATACAAAAGTGTTTATAGAACTTTTGTTTTGGAAGTCGTCTAAGGACGCCATTGATATAGAGCACGGCTACGACCTCTACAGCGACCAAAAGTAAGTCTATTTAACTTCAGATTTATGCCAATACCTTTACTCCACTAACTTTCCATTTCAGCCTTTTTCTTCTAAAATATACATACCTTATATCTTACTAATAATATAAATGCAAATATTTATATGGATGGATGAATGTTTGTTTGTTTAAAGGTTTCTCCAAAACGGCAGCATGGATCACGATGAAATTCGCCATAAGTAGACCATACTCTTTTTAACTTCGCGCAGACGGAGTCGTGGGCTACAGTTAGTATATTATACATCCGAATGTTGAATAGCTCTAATATTTCAATTAAATTAACATTTACATATAAAAGCTATTCCATATTTGGCTTAAAAGACCCGTGGAAATATGTTTAATTAAATATTTAATTGACCTGTTATATCTCTTTATACAAAATTAATGAGACTATTATCGCTATCGTCAGAACTGCTCGAAATAGATATTGGCTTTAAATTGCATGCGGACTATTAGAATAGTAGGAATTTTAAATGGAATTTTATATTAAACTAGCTGTCGCTCGACGTTGCGTCCGCGCGAGATTAATAAAAACCATAATAAGTAGCCTATGTGTTCTTCCAAACTACTAAATTTCAGCGAGATCCATGCAGACATTCTGGAGATACCTTCAAATAAATATCCATCCATCCATACATTAGTAAGAAGTAAGATTATTTTATGAATACTTTAACTAGCAAATAATAGACTGTTTATTTAAATATTGAAGTAAATTGTCTGTTAGGGACAAAGTAGGCAAAGGTCATTGGAGTGAAGAACAAGAGGATGAACTACGCAACTTGTTTATGGAGAATCAAACTAATCCTACAACAGAGAAAGGTAAACGACACCATTGCAGTCGTCCGACTCGAAGGACCGTTATTTGATTCGTTTGTACAATTACCGCATTAATTATACATTTAATCTTATTATGTAGATGTTATTGATTGGATTTTGGATAACTTGATCGATCAGACTCGGACTAGACGTGGGGTTATCAAGAAGTTAAAAGAACTCGGCTTAATATTTAAAGCACCAACGAAAAGGAGTAACAAAGAGAGATTGAAGGAAAAAGTCCCTAAAGAGTTTTCAGAAGAAGAAGATTCATTACTTATTGAGCTATGGAAACAGTACGGTGATTCGTCTGGTATGTATATTTAATAACAATCCCTAATTTAAACTAACTTCTTGTAACAGTCGGAATAGTTTTAATGTTACTAAAACAGACACTTAATGTAGACTCTAAGTATGATAATGAGTGTTGAAGAGTTTTTTTTTTAAATGGATTCAATTTCATTCTACAAATGTACCTTTATACGAAATTTCAGTCCCTAGCGCTATGTATGCCAGTCGTATATTATCTCATAGTGATGTACGCTAACTGAAATCTCGTTATAATAGGCTTAATGGAGTGTTAGGGACCAAACTGATTGTCGCTTACGTCCATAAGTATTAATTATTGATATAAACCGCCATACGTATAGTTCAGTATTGTGAAACTCAAGATAAATTAAATCGATTACTGCTTAGATTATGCTAGCCACAGTTACAAATGGTTTAACTTTATGGATGTTTACTTAATTTTTGATTATCATTACCAACATCAACCTGTCCGTATCCTTAAAGAGGGTCGGCACAGTATGTACTACTCCTCCCTACATTTCTATCAGCCGTCATATCTGAATATACCTCCTTTCTACGCATATCCTTTTTCACACAATCCGTCCATACTTTCTTTGGTCTTCCTCTACCTTTGTAGCAATCCACATTCAATCTCAATACTTTTACGATATACGAAAATAAAAATAAAAACATTATAAATCAGATCCCATGGGAATAATAATTCCCCGAATGCCACGTAAACGGCCAAGGCGTAGTTTCGTCGAAAGACTCCTAGAGTTGGATCTAATACAAGACAAGAGGCAATGCAGGCAAAAGAAACAACAGAAATCAAAAAGCGATGGAAATAACAGTGACAGATCTGATAGTAAGTGCTCTTGTGTCAAATTATATATATTTTCATTTATACAATTTTTATTTTTTATTTCTATAGAATATATCAATTAAACATATTTCATCGCGAAATACTGTGTCCATTTAGTTTGTTACAAACATTTTTATGAAAAAAAAATTATTTTGATTGGAACTTAAAGATTATTTTGATCTTGGAGACTCACCGTAAAATCAAAATGTTCCATAGGTAGTTCATCAAGTTCAGAATCAGATGAAAGTGATTCAGATAGTAATATAAGGGTTCGTTCGCCTAAAATCAAGAAAAATATTAAGAAAATAGATAAAAGGAGAACAGATGCGAGCAGTAACAGAAAAGCGAATAAAACTGTTGAACTTAGCGCAAACGAAATTGCTAAGTTATTGGTGCAAGCAGTTAATAAAGGTAATTATTATTTTTAATATAATTACTCTTAATTTTAATGTAAAAAACCTCCCAAAAAGTAATTCTTTTATAATATTGTTTGTACACTATTCAAAAAATTCCTAGCATAAATCTTTTATAGGCTTAAAAACTTCCAAGAGTAACGTAATAAATTATCGTAATGGAAATTCATTGGAAAATATTAAACAAAAAAATCAGTTGAATATTTGGCCCTAACCTGAATAACCGCTGGTTACTCGATGATTCAGTAATCGTCTTTACGAATTTCGATTAAGATATCGTAAATAAACAATCTGTTATTTTTTTATATTTGCCACTTATTAAGTGTTTTTATAAAGAAAATATAATCAGATCATAAAAAAAACCCTTACTAAGTAATACAAGAACATATAAATATCCAAAATTAGCTATCGCCTCCGATATCGTTAATAAAAAATAAAATAAGTAGCCTACTTGTTCTTCCACCATGTTCTACATCTATGCAGAATTTCAACGAGATCTATGCAACCGTTCTGGTGATAACTTCTAACAAACATACATCTATCCATACATCCAAACATTCGCATTTATAATATTAGTAAGATTACTTTGCCAGGTTTTAGCGAAGCATTGAAATGGGTAGCAGAGAATTTAGAAGAAGTAGCATTAGATCAAGAAGCAGAAGGCTACGACCCGAGCGCGGAGGGCACGCCTCTTGTACCTATATCTGATGATTCTGTACAAGCTATGGACAATCGTATGTTTCATAAAGTTCTGAAGGGTGTTGGTATATTACCTCCAGCTGATGAACAGGTAAGTTTATATATAAATAAGAAAAAATCCTAACCTAACATAACCTAACACAATATTATATGTATGTCTAAATAATATTGCTTATCAGCAGAATTTTAACAAAAAACATGATTTGATTGAATTTGATTGAATATTTTTTATTATAATGTTCATACCTAATCTTATATATAAAATTCTCGTATCACAATTTTCGTCCCAAACTCCTCCGAAACGGCTTGACCGATTCTCATGAAATTTTGTGAGCATATTGAGTAGGTCTGAGAATCGGCCAACATCTATTTTTAATACCGCACGGACGGAGTCGCGGGCGGCAGCTAGTATTTAAATAATTTTTTGATTGATCACAAAAATTTAATATTGATTTCGGCAGTTAACTTAATAATGTTTGAAAACTAGTGTTGCATTAAAAAAGAACTTAGGAGAAGAGATCAGAAGAAAGCACTCCTGTGATACTTATTTTTTTGTGTGTTTGTTTGTTTGGTTCTGTTATATTGTTGTTTTGTTGCTAATATATTTGAATGTGAATTGTAGGAAACATACTGGAGAATACCAAGTCACTTACACTTCAATACAATTAGGAAACGCCGTGAAATTATTCTAAAGGCAATTAATAAAGAACTTATTATAAACGACGCAGAAATATCTAATACTATAACAGCAGAAGAATCAGAAAAGAACGAAAAAGAAGAATCTAGTGATGACGAAGATTTATTTGATAGTTTACGTAAATTACGCGACAATAATACAGAAGAATACGTTAATAAAAGTAATAATAAAACAAATACTCGAAAACGCAGTCGTAGTTCTGATGATGAAGATAATGGAAAAGAAAAATTGCAGAGAATTGAAGAAGAATTAATAGAAAAGAGTGATGAAGAAGATATTTTGTCGTTTGCAAAGAAGACACTTCAATGTGACGATGAGCCTGATACAGAAGATATTTTAAAGAGTATACCAAAGCATATTTCTGGTAAGTACTTTATTGATTCCAATAGACCACTTTTTTTCGTTCTTTTCGAGCAGGTGCTTTATTTTTTCTTCAATTAAATTTTTCTTTTTAAATTTTCTTTTTTTAGACGACAGTGATAATGAAGACGAAGAAATAGTGGTGACGAAACGAAAGAAAGCAAGAGTCATTGTTGATGACGATTCTGACTAAATCTACATATTTAATGGATCATTAGTTTTATCCTGCTTAATAAATGCATATAAAGTTTCCAAGTTTTTTTTTTCACTTTATTCAAAATTCCTTCAGAAATAGAACTCGGTGAATCAAAATATTATTCTAATTATAGTATAAAAAACTGAAATAAAGTGCTATTGCTTTTTTAGATAAAGCTTTATACAATTGCATAGACCATAGACAATATGAATGCGTCAACCATCTTGCACAGACAAAGCGCACGAAGTATAAAGCCGTAAATCGAGTGGGTAGGCAGAGATAACAATTTCATTTCACACGATACGGACACCTCCCGCTTTATTAACAACCATAAATTTACAACTGCAGCCTCGTTGGATACGGTACCCTTATAGTTTTCATATGTGCATTTTGATATATACTAGCTGTAGCTCTGGACTCCGTCCGCGCGGTATTAAAAAAACCTATCTGTTCATGTGAATTAAATAATTTCTTTGAAGTGAAAATGTCTCCATACAATATCTCACACACTCACATTTATGGAATATTTTTTTAAATAATTGTATCTTACATTTCTCACTTTAGAAATATCTGGCATCATGGGAATGCGTCATTCGTAAGTAAATTTCTTCCCTTATTATAATTTTTAAGAAACGCCTGAAGTGACGGAGCACTCGCTAAGCTTTTTATCTCAGTCGCGCCACTTATCTGTATAAATTTTTAAAATGCAATTTTTCTCTTTCAGCACGCGCCGGGTATTATGAAAGGAATAACAAATACGTTAAAATGACAGTTAAATAAGAAGGGAAGTGGCTTTTATTGTATACACTTACCAATTGTTTGACAAAGCGCGATACTCTAATGTTTTTGTTGAAATACTCTCATTTCTCTCGCCTTTGTGACGAATTTTTAAAGTGCTCAATTTGTATTTCAAAAGGTGATTATTTTTTTTTGTTTCGGTGCCATGACGGAAACGACTTTTAATTTTAATTCTTTGTTGTTAAAATGCTTTAGAAATAGTAACATTTTATTGTATAACAAATTGAAGGAAAACGGTATCAATAATAAAAATTACGATTGAAAACTATGGAGTCAAAAAATATCCTTGAATTTTGATGGTCACCAAAATGGAAACCTTTACTAATTCTCAAGGATTAAAAGTTGAGCAAGGTCTTGGAAGCTAAATCATTTTCAGACTTGTGCTATTGTTTGATATTTGGATTTTGAAATACGAGTCATTGATTAAATCTAGTTGCTTTGGATTAATTTGGAATAGTATAAACTTGTGTAGGAATATAATTTTTATTATTAATTCTTTCTCTTTAACGTACGTAGGTAAATTTATAAATAAATTTTCTGTTATATGAATCAAAGCGTAATAAATTTTCCTTAAAATATTTGTCTTTACGTGGGAATGGGTTTACATCAAAGAATTCATTACAAATGTAATATTGTCGGTGGCGAACTTTGATGTTACTTTTAGAATTTCTATTTCCTGCCGGTTTTATAATTGACTTTGAATTTTTTGAAAGATTATTATTTTATTTTATCTACATTTTGTTGGTATAGGGGGGAATGATAGAATAAATAAGAGCGAAAATGTAAGAAGGTTGTATAGTTTGAGCAAAGAAACGTCTCAGAGTCCAACTATAGCAGTAAACAACGTACTATCGGCGAAATGAAGCGCCGCGAACGCTGCCAAATTGCCCGATACGCCCTCGCCTATTTCTCTTTGAATAATATTATACCAAATAGTGCAATATAGTAAGCGCTATGATTATTGCGTCTAGTTTTATTTTCTCGAAAGTCAAACATTCTACATATATTTCCCGAGCGGTCTTATTCATTTCAAAACTGACTAGTTTTTGTCAGAATATGCCAAAACAAGAATATGTACAAACAAGTTCCATATCATCGCTCTGCAAAGTAGCACGTATTGGATTTATGAAAATTGTAGTTCAGTTCTAAAGAAGTATTGCGATTTTTTGATATTTTACTGCGGTAATTAAAAATTGTTTCAATTCAATAAAACAAAGGTAACTCGTTCATTTGTTCGTTTTATTACATTCGATCCATTCACGTTCTTCGTTTTAAATTCATTTTGAAATTTGGGAATATCTATGGTAAAACATTCACTTGACCTTACTAGGATCACATAATTAATATTTCCAAACATTTCAAATCAATGTAGCTGTTGAATTGATATTATATTTGAATTTATGCCAATGTCAGAAATTATTAGAGTGTATTTAATTTCAAAATTGTCAGAATGTAAGCATGCAGTGAACGATTCGTTTACATTTCATTGATTATGTTACTTGTTCAATGAATATAAACCGAGTGACTTACTTCTTTTGTCAATTTACATCTGATTAAACATGTTTAATTTGGTTAGGGATTTACGGAGATTAAAGTTTTTATTGGATTTTATCACTTATGCGATTGCTTGTACAACAATTTTTTAAACTAGGATACAAAAGAAATTGCGATAAAGTATATTTAAAATAACGGTTTGTGTACATGTATTCTAATATTGAAAGCGCCTACGTCATAACATAACTTAACCAATTAGATATACGTTTGGCTTTTGAAATCCAATTATAAATATTGCCAGTAGATTTATACATATTTGCAATTGGAATGGAATATTTAACTTTAACAGTTAGCGTGGTGATATTTTCACGAATATTTTAGAGTGCAACTAAAACGGAACTAAAATGGAATTGATATAAAATATCAAGAGTGAATAGATTGAGTTCATATTCATAGTTGGCTGCGTTCAACAGCTGACCAGTTTTGTTGATATTGCCGCTGTATCATAATCATAAACATCCAGCATAGTAACAACGTGATTGCAATAGGTCGTAGAAATTCTGAAAGTGTCACAGTAACTTTGTTGGTTGTAATACAACTTTTTTATTAATATTGAGTCAAATGAAAATAAATATCAATATTGTCTTTGCTCTAAATATTCTTTAATCACTAATTTCTCCAATATCTAACACCTGAGCTGAACATCTAAAACCAAATTATAGATATCTAACATTAACTTTTTAAAATTTATTTCAAATAGGCACCCAAGGTCAATGAAGTTATTAAAACCGCTTAAAGATTTAACTAACTAGTTGTAGATTAACATAATTGTCACGGTTAGTTATTTGACGAAACACAAATTCCCCCGGTGCAGTGTTAACTGACGCAAGAAATGCGTCGACATATAATCTCACCTCGTCGTGTCCTCGGTCCGCACCGGTTGAATACAAATGAGCTGAATGAAAGCCCTGCCAGATAACATGCCCTGCTCAGATAAGCTCCTATACACTTGGAAATAAGTCGTTAACGTATACAGGGAATTTTTAATAAGTCTACCTTACTAAGTTAACTTTGGTTAGAATGTACGATTAGTTATGTTGTTCTAATTTAAGTTTTAGTAAGAGAAATCGCGACTACCCAATATGACAAATAAATAATACGAATACTCCTCATGAAATCTTGAGAATCTGTCTAAGTCTTTATCTACGGCTGCGACTACGTCAAGGTCTACGCCTACGTTTACTACTAAGACTGTCCACTAATAACTCCAAAATGGCTATACGGATCTGGATGAAATTTGACATATGTAGATGATATAAATAGCTGGAATGGCATATAGGATTTATTTTATCCTGGCAGCATTTATCGTTCGTGAGATATGTCCATACCGAAATTTATACTGTCTCAATGCTACGCGCACGAAGTCACCGCGTCAACATCTAGTAAGAATAAAAAAAAGCAAGTCGCGTCTTTGCATAAACCAGATGCGATACAGAATCAAATCTGTGTTAAGAGCATGCATATTGTGTCACATCACAAGAAAGTCGGATTTTTTCTCGTTGACACAATTCTTTTAGTAGTAGTCGTACGCGACCGCAGAACACAAAATATTTTAGAAACAGTTTCTAATGTTAAACTTGTAGCCTCCACTGTTACATCACTGCTTTCCAAAAAACAAAACTAAGTTACATTGTTGGACATTTTAGTTGGACATAGCCAGAAGTAGTATCGGTCTTTATAACATGTTTCTTCTAATCCGAATGTGCATTATGTTTAGTACTATGTCTAGATATATGAAGTCAATTTTTAAATTGATTGTATGGACGGTGATTCTGAATAGTGTTGAGGTTTAATATATAAGAGGGAAAAACGTCTTCAAATCTTTATCGTTTAATAGGCACGGAGGGAATGAATCTTAAAACGAATAAGAGCTATGAATAAAATAAAATGGGGTGATACGAGGCACGATAAGTACTTATTGAAGTGCGGAGCGAGTAAAGGGGCCACTACTCAACGCCCTTTTAATTTCTAACTCAGCTTGATCGATAAGTTAAGTATGTAGTGTGCTCGATTGGAAGCGAAAGTATAATCAAACTCTCTAATGACCTGGTACTCTATGCTTTCATCTCAATAAATTAATGATGCAAGCAAATAGAATAAAAGGGATTTTTAATAGGCCGCAACCTCTTAAAGGGTTTTTTTTCGGACGTCGATTGGTAACATAAAGAACAGCAGTGTACATAGGATACCCTTGTGTAAAAAACTAAACGTATACTATGATGCTGCGATTAACTTTTTTGTGATGTCCAACATCTTTTATTATAATCACCAAATCTTTTTACAGGTCGTTTGATTTGTCTAACATTGTTGATACATCATATTTTTATAAAACCTAATTAAGCCTAATATTGTAATTAAGGTAGTTAAACTGAAAGGGCACTAAAGGTTAAGTCTTAAGGTATTAACATGCGCAACTCCAGACGCCCTCGTAAAGTGCGATTAAAATGGGGAAAATGTTAGGGGTGCTTATCTAATGTTAAGAGAATTTCACCCTCAGAAGGGCAATCTACACACAATTATTTATCTAAAATAATAGGGAAGATAAAATACGACATAATATACGATTTAGATTTCTATTCTTTTCACGTATTTCATTTTACCTTTTTTTAACTCACTTGAAGAAAGCAATAGCGGTTTGATGTAAAATTTTTCATTAGTTTACATCCCATTGCAAAACTTTTCTTAATGTG